ACCCTGCTGGCAGGGTTGCCAATGGGGGCAGCAAGAAGTCGGCTGTTTGCAGGCTAGTACTGGTGGCTAGTTCTTACCAGTGCAGTGCACCAGCCCACTTTCACTTCCAGATATAGATAGACCAATGGTGGAGTACAAGGAATGAATGAGTCCATGCTGGTCAACATGATAGTCATTTGTCTCAGCCTTGCTTTTAGATCAAATACATTATTCTAGACACAATTTAAAGCAGATTTGCCTGTCAGCATTGGAGGGAGATGCTGTAAGGCAGAGTAAGTCAAGATCACAACCCAGAAGAATTATGGTTAAAGCCAAGGGCCGTTGCCTTTCAGATCAACAAACCATTTTGGGGGAGGGCACAGTGATATTCCAAAAGCCTGAAACTGATCACTCCAACCTTTGACCAGTGTCCTTATACCTAAAAACACCTGCTTGTGCTGGGAACACCATCCTTGATTGCAACAACAACTCCTGACCCACAGGAGTCCCAAAGATGGTTAGTCCCAAAAGTTCATGAGCCCCAGTGTCTCGAGTATCTAATTCTTCATTTTCCTATTCTTGTCTTGCTTTTTATCTGGGAGATGTTCCGGTCTTTTATTCACTAGGATGTGAAAATGTAGGTGCATGAATGCACGTGCTTGAGCACCAGTGAAAGTCCACATGACAAAAGATCATTCCCCAGGTTTAAAGAACCTTAAAGTTTACCTCATAAAAATACTTGTAAGAGTGTTCTGTATGTCCTGGAAGTGCCTAAAGATACTTAAAGCTGCCAGCCAGAAAATACCAAAGAAGAGATGCTAAACTTCTGTCTAGTTCAGTATTCCTGATAGGGTCTGTGTCATACTATCTTTGCTGTTGGGGGGTGAGGTGGGAAGAGAGAAGGGCATGAAAGAAGGGAAAGATTTAGCCATTATCCAAGAACTGAAAGCAAGGAGGAAGCTTTGATGTTGTACTTTAGACATTAAATGATATTTTGGTTTTGGTGTCCAAATAGTTAACCCACTCTAAATCCTGAATTGTTAAGGTTGTGCAGTTGGAGTTTATGACCAAATGGACAGCCACCTCCATAGATTTCTTTTTAGGACTGATAAAGATTAATTTGTTGTGTTAATCTGAAGGTTTGATTTACTTGATGATTTAATTCCAATCCAAAATTGATGCCAAATTGTTGATTGGACAACTGTGTTGTTTAGTCATGTTAATACTTTAGCTTTATTGATTTGTTTTCTTGATTTTATTTTTAATAGTTTTAAATGAAAATTATGGGACTTGATATTGAGCCAGATTCTTTCAATAAACAATGTGGGTCAGAACCATTTGAAAATCAGAGCAGATATTAGCCAACCAACTTAAAAAAGCTTTACCAGCTCCCTAAATTAACCTAGGTTCTCACAAATAACTTTAGTTTATCTTCAGGAAACACAGTGAAACCAGTAAATATCTGGATTTTTATAAATGGGAGAAACTGAAGCAAAGTTGTTACTTTCCCAAGACCATCCAGTGAACCTGATAGAACATGAGTTGGAACAGATAATTTTTTCATCCCCAGCCCTGAGCACAGATTACTATTCTGCTACTGGTCCACTGCCTTTCTTTCTCCGTTAGATATTGTTTGGCTCTCTGTGTTAAGACTCAAAAAATTGTACTGCACCAGGAAATGTAACTGTATCTTTCCAAGGAATGAAGTAGCAAGATATGATGAACCTTTTTTGATCTAGCCATATTCTGCAGGTAAGAGATGAAAACATTTTATCAACTGTCTGAGGTACAAGTTCTTTATTAGTTCTTTTAGAAGTATATTTAAATGTATTAATTAAGGTACATAGTCCTGCTGTGAAATTGTGTTTTCCTATTAATGCTTCAAAGGCCATACTTGAAAATATTCTACAATAAATATGGTATAAAATTTCCTCACTATGGGTCAGTCATTTTCACTGAAGCACAGTATATCCAATTAACCAGGACTCTCAGAGCCGTCTCCTAAGCAGGGCTAAACTCGAAATAAGCTACGCAACAGGGCCGTCTCCTAAGTAGGGCTAAACTTGAAATAAGCTACGCAACTTGAGCTATGCTAATTGCATAACAAGTCAAAATAGCTTATTTCGACTTTTTGCGCTGTCGATACATCACTTATTTAGAAATAGAACACTCTTCCCGCAACTTCCCTTACTCCTCAAACAATGAGGCTACGTCTAGACTGGCATGATTTTCCTGAAATGCTTTTAACGGAAAAGTTTTCCGTTAAAAGCATTTGCAGAAAAGAGCGTCTTGCAAAAGCACTTTTTGCGGAAAAGCGTCCGTGCCAATCTAGACGCGCTTTTGCGCAAAAAAGCCCTGATTGCCATTTTCATGATCGGGGCTTTTTTGCACAAAACAAATCTGAGCTGTCTACACTGGCGCTTTTGCGCAAAAGCTTTGCACAAAAGGGACTTTTGCCCGAACGGGAGCACCATAGTATTTCCGAAAGAAGCTCTGATTTCTTACATGAGATCGTCAGTGCTCTTGCGGAAATTCAAGCGGCCAGTGTAGAGAGCTGGCAAATTAAAACTTGCCAGTCTAGACACAGCATTGAGGGTTCCAGGAGTTGGAGTAAGAAGCCTGTATTTTCAAATGTACAATTTCGAAATAACAGGCTTGCTATGTAGACGTTATTTTGGAATAACTGACGTTATTCTGAAATAACGCTGCTGTGTAGACCTAGCGTCAGAGAAATGAATATTTAAAAATAGCTTTCAACAGGATTCTCCTATATAAATATCCATTTCTCACCTGTTTTAAAGAACTTATGCCACAGTTCTGCCGACACAATGCTGCCAGCCCAAGAATTAAGAGATTGTGAACTATACATAAACTAAAATATGGGTTTGCTTCCCAGGGTCAATCTGGTCAGTGCATATTCCCTATTCACACCATATAAGAGGTCAACTAAAATATATTATTGTTTCAGATCCCTAATTGGAAAACCTATCCTTTACAGACACCAGTCCACTCTTCCCTACAAAAGTGTGTAGTTGTTTGGCAAATCTATTAAGCAGTTTCAGAAAAACAGCTTTTCAGAATGGCTGCTTGAGCATTTCCAGTGCAACTATTCTTAGGAATATATATTTGCACTAGTGTTTACAGCTCTTTTACTTTCTTTGAACCTCTTTGGAAATAAAAACTTTTCACCAAAATGTTTGTGAATTATCATTAGATACCAGCCAAGTGAACTGGTCAGTTTCATTCTCAAGAAGCAGCAGATACTTGTATACTGTCTTTGCTCAGTTCTAGCAATATGCCAGTAGAGAAAGCAGTTATGACTAGACAACCTGGCTGGCTTATCTGAGGCAGTCAAAAAGTGTATAAATAAACTAGGGCGCACACTACAGAATACATAACAGCATGGCAAGAATAGGTGGAGTGCTAGTGAGAGTTCCAAGACCAAAACAAATGTCTAATTTAGTATACTGAAATTGCTGAGTTTTTTCTAGTTACAGACAACATGAGTCAGTGGCACTAACTGCTCCTGATTTAGATTTTTCTTCAATGAAGATCTGTTTAAAAATGACTATTGGGGAGTCCTGCCTCACACAGAGAGTTTGGACCTGATTCTATTAAAGTCATTTTGAGTTTCGCCATTGACATTAACAGAAGTAGCATTAGGATTGATCATCCAGGGTTCTGTGTGCCTGCTGCAAGGTGCTGAGATGGGCAAATACTGTAAAACATCGACCCACAAATATCAGTGAAAATAAAACCAGTGAATGCAATGTGACAGTATTCACAGCAACCTTTCATCCATTGTTTGCAGAGACGTGGAGGGCTCCAGTATCTTCCAACTATTATTCCCTATGAACATGTTTGATAAAGAGGCAGCAGTGTGGAGGCAGGTAGAAGCTGGTACATGTGGAAAGACGGCTTTCAAGATAGTTCCTCACGTGTATCGGCTCACATGAGCTACTCCCTCTCTGGAGATATTTAAGAACAGGTTAGATAGACATCTGTCAGGGATGGTGTAGACGGAGCTTGGTCCCGCCTTGAGGGCGGGGGGCTGGACTCGATGACCTCTTGAGGTCCCTTCCAGTCCTATTATTCTATGATTCTACTTTCCTCCCTACGCTGCTGCCTCTCTATCAGAGGCAACAGCACCGGGGGAGGCAGGCGGGAACCAATACATGTGGGAAGCCTGCTTTTAAGCCGGTTCTTCTCATGTGCTGGCTCCGTGGAGCTGCTGCCCGCCCCCTTTGATTCCTCCCCCTGAGCACTGGCTCCTGCCTGCCCCCCTCCTCCCACACTGCTGCCTCAGAATCCCTGCGGAAAGGGACTGGTGCTGCCCTATGCTGCTGCCTCTGAATCAGGTGGCAGAGGGCTCCCCTGGAGTGGGGCCGGGTGCACAAGGCTTGCCGGCTCTGCCCCTGGGAACTATGGAATAATCATGTAACTGCTAAATTTTGATGTGGTTATATGAGAACTCGAATAATTGCTATCTAACATCCCTAACTCATGCTGACTCTTTATTTCTCCTTGAATGCTACCAGTGCTGAAGGGAGAGCCCTCAACATTTTGCTGCATGTGGCATCTACACCTACTTGTTGCCCAACAGTTATGGTAAGGGATTCAGGTTGCACAGACAACTATGAAGGAAGGCATTATGGGCAGAGAGCCATACATAAATTCTCTAGCACTGACTTGTAGTTCTGAATGCTTGAACTTTTTCTGTGTAAATGTCTCTCTGAAAAAAAGCTGTTGTTTGTTTTGGCTTCTTTTATTTAGGAGACCCTGCATTAGATCTTCATGTTATACTCACTACTTAAGTGTCCCTGAGGCCAGGAACACCTAGACTACACTATAGGTTATAGATCTAATTATATTATTAGAATTTTAAAATGAATAGTCTTGTGCACCTTAGAGACTAACAAAAATATATATATGGTATCATGAAGTTTTGTGAGCAAAACCCACTTCCTCAGATGAGCTTGAGTGGAGAAGTGGAGTCCACTCACTGAGGAAGTGGGTTTTGCTCTTGAAAGCTCATGATACTATATATATATTTATTAGTTTCTCAGGGTATGTCTACATAGCAGTGTTATTTTGGAATAACTGACATCTACGCTACAAGCAGTTATTTTGACATAATGTTGAAATAATGTCTAGCTGGAGGACTTATTACTCTGACTCCACATTTTATAAGGAGCAAGGGAAGTTGGAGGAAGAGTTCTCTTCCTCAGATTTCCTGCTGTGTAGACAGAGCCAAAAGCCAAAATAAACTATTTTGACTTAAGCTACGCAATTAACATAGCTCAAGTTGTGTATCTTATTTCGGCTTTAGCCCTGCTGTGTAGATGTGCCCTAAAGTGCCAGAGAATTACTTATTGTTTTTAAAGTTACAGATTAACATGGCTATCCCTCTGAGATTATTGGAAATTGTAAGAGTAAAGATTAGTTGAGGAATAGTTTGTGATTTAAAAAAACAAAAGGTGTGGAGAGGTGCCAAGGTCCAGCAGCTAGAGACTAGGCCTATGACTCAATGCATTGGGATGCTATTTCTGGCTCTGCCACTGACCTACTGTGTGACCATGGGCAAACTACTTTACTGCTCTGTGCTTCAGTTTCATCACCCACTTTTTGTTTGCCTTGCTTCAATAAGTCTCTACCCAAAAAGCATGTATTATCTTTTATTATGTGCATGTACCATGCATAGTACAGTGGGCATCCCAGACTCAGTTGGGCCCTGTAGATACTACCACAATACAAAAAATAAATACTAATAAATGACATTTTCAACTAAGTTCCTCAGGGCAGGTACCATCTGTGTTGTGTGTTGGTGCAGAGCCTAGCCCAGTAGGTGCCTGATCCATGGAGCTTCCAGGCAACACCATAATACAAATAGATAATAATAATGTTGCAAATCAAGCTCAGATTGGATCCAGTCACACAGCATCTGGTTTCACTCTATAATACTGCCTGCAAAAGTTACACTCTCAATGCTTGTGATGATGTGAACCCCAATACACACTGCTTGTGTTTTCTAAACAAACAAAAACACAGGAGTGATCAGTTGAAGTCAATGGAAGATTTCAATGAAAGACTATTTCTCCTTTAACTTTGTCACTACACTGGACTTGTAACTATTGCACCGCTACTCTTGAAAAAAAAGCAGTGTCAAAGCCTTTAAAACAAAAGGGACCTGTGTTCTACTAGCATTCAAATGTCAAAACAGCCTTCTATAAATGGCAAAATGTCTTCTACAGTCTTGTGGCTTCTCAGAATTGTTTTTGGGGGGGAGGAGGATACAGTTTTGAGCAGCCACAAGACTGTAGAAGAGTGAGAAGATACCATTTGAAAAAAATATTTTTTTAATGTTTGTTTATACTTAACCTATTTAAAAACTGCAAGAACAGTCATGTCAGTTCTGAAATGGATTAAATATTTCCATCTGACTAAATAAGTTGTCTGCATAGTTGGTCTTTGATTAACTTCAATTAAATTTCAATCCAGAAACAATGCAAACATTGCTTTGGATATTTATTTTACTTTAAAAACACATTTTCTTTCTATTGCTTGCATTATTTTCTGTACACATAAAGGATAAGACAATCTTTCACACAGCAGTGTAAACCTGTAATAACTTCCCGGAAGTCAGCATGGTCCCCCTGATGTAAAACCGACATAGGTGAGATCAAAGTTACTGCCAGATCCTCATGGCCGATGCTCACAATGAACATGAAGATTGTGAGCCGTGACACAAACCAACAGAAAATCACATAAAAATATCTTTTGCTCGTGCTTGCATGCTTTTTAAAAACATGTATTTATTTCCATGAGTTCAAGATGGAAAGTCATTAAGGTTCCAATTCAACAAAGCAGAGACGCTAATACGCATATTCAAGCAAACAGTATTTCCACTGAAGTCAATGGAAATACTATGTGCGTAAATTTACATGTGCTTCAGTGCTCTGCTGCACTGGGCCCTAAACAGCACAAGAGTGAGCCATCCATAGCGTAGAGAGTGTTTTCTGCTTCTAAGACACAGCATAACCAATCCATCACAACAACTAACTTAAAATTCTTCTGATGTTGCAGAGCTGGCTCTCTCCTGCAAAATGAAATTCTCAAATGGGCAAATATTTTTGGGATATGCACTTCACAATGCAAGATAGGTACTCAGATCATCAGAATTTAAAAAGACTGGGCATTCAATTCCACTATTCCTTCTATTAAAATAGACAAGAGAGATATAAAATATTTATTTTCATTTGATCAAAGAGTTCAACAGATAACACTGGTCTACAATTTTTTAGAAGTTGTCTGCTTCAGAGATAAAATGTGCTATTTATTATGTATTTTGATGTGCTGAATTCAAATATGACAATTAAAACAACTGACTGTTTCCAAGATATTTAAGTTTTTACATTTTACGTCTACGTATATTGTGTAGATAGTAGAGTTTTAATCATAAATTGTAAACCTAGGTCTTTTCATGTGTTTATGGTTGCTTTACATGATAATATTTCACCTGTCCTGTTTATGTAACACTTTAAAAATCAGCAAAAGGGTTATATAAATAAAATTTATTATGAAACAAAAGGCAAAAAACTATTATGTACATAGTTTAGTCCTATTCAGTGTCTACTCGGTGCTTCTTGGCTTGTCTCTTGTATTCATTAAATGGAGCATCTCTTGTCACTGTCCAGCAATAGTCTGCAAGCATTGATGGGCTCCATTTGCCCTGATAGCATTTCTCCATTGTTGCAATGTCCTGGTGAAATTGCTCGCCATGCTCGTCGCTCACTGCTCCGCAGTTCGGTGGAAAAAAATCTAAATGAGAGTGCAAAAAATGTATCTTTAGTGACATGTTGCAACCAAGGCTTTTGTATGCCTTGAGGAGGTTTTCCACCAACAACCTGTAGTTGTCTGCCTTGTTGTTTCCGAGACAATTTATTGCCACTAACTGGAAGGCTTTCCATGCCGTCTTTTCCTTGCCACGCAGTGCATGGTCAAATGCATCATTTCGAAGAAGTTCACGAATCTGAGGACCAACAAAGACACCTTCCTTTATCTTAGCTTCTCTTAACCTTGGAAATTTTCCACGGAGGTACTTGAAAGCTGCTTGTGTTTTGTCCATGGCCTTGACAAAGTTCTTCATCAGCCCCAGCTTGATGTGTAAGGGTGGTAACAAAATCTTCCTTGATTCAACAAGTGGTGGATGCTGAACACTTTTCCTCCCAGGCTCCAATGACTGTCGGAGTGGCCAATCTATCTTGATGTAGTGGGAATCTCTTGCACAATTATCCCATTCACAGAGAAAACAGCAGTACTTTGTGTATCCAGTCTGCAGACCAAGCAAGAGAGCAACAACCTTCTAATCGCCACAAAGCTGCCACTGATGTTGGTCATAGTTTATGCACCTCAAAAGTTGTTTCATGTTGTCATATGTTTCCTTCATATGGACTGCATGACCAACTGGAATTGATGGCAAAACATTGCCATTATGCAGCAAAACATCCATGACATCTAGGAATAACATGATGCAATTCATATCATGTATGATGCAATACCAGCTTCAGATTGCATCATTCATTGTTTTGCCTAAAAAGCAAGTACTGTCCAAACCCAGTCATAGATTTATTCATAGATCCAGTCAAAGATGTATTTTAGTCATTTCTGGTTTAAATTGAGATCCCTTCCCTTTATAACTCACTTATCCTCCGCCATTCGCAAGTCAAGGGTCGTATATACTGACCCAATAGTATATCTTGAAAACTAGAGCCAATCAGCAATTTTAAGCATCATTTTCATTCTCAGTGACCCAGAATTAGTAAAGTTTGACTACATTTATTTCAGAAGCATTTTGGCTGGAGAGCAGTGTAACATTAACTTAAGCATATATTTTATATTTATTATTTGATTTTAAAATCAATTTTAATTTTAGATTTTTTTAAAGCAATACAAAAATATACAAATCACCAGCAGAGGTAGACAATCTAGCTAAGTGATAACCAGAAAAAGCTAGTTGGGTATTTTCCAGCTAAATTTATATTTTGTGATTGAAAAACATCAATTCATCAAAACAAAAACTTTTTGTGGGAAAATGGCCATTTTGACAAAACTTCCGATTTTAAAAAAAGGGTACAAAAAATGTGCACTTGTCAAAATATTTTCAAAATGAGAATTTTCATTTTCAAATTTGAAATTACTTTTCATTTTAACATTTTATAAATATTAATTTATAATATTTTTTTTAAATTGGCCATGAAATGTTTTGAAATGATTGAAATGAAACATTCTGATTGACCAAATATAATTATTTTAACCAATTTGTGAATTTTTTTGAGATTTTGACTTTTCATGCCCATTTCAGATGGGAAATAGTTTTGAACTCTCATGCTCTCACTGTTTCCCACCCCACTCTTTTATTGCATACCATTTCAGAGTGTGCATTTCTGAAAAGAGACACATATTCACAGAGCACACTCTTAGAGCTACTTTTCTATGGCCTGTCATCTGTAAACAATTTTCAAATGTTCCTAACTTGGCTAAATTTCCTGCACAATTTTTCCACACGTACAGTCAGACAATGCACTTTTCTCTGCGGCCCTAATTCAGCAAATGACTTAACACATTGATTAGTCAGGTGCTTAAGTGCTGTATAGGAATGCGCTTAACCATGTGTTTAATGTTAAGAACACAATTAGATATTCTGCTGAATTACAGCCCCTGTATGGAACTCCTATTGACCCCAAGTGGATATTTTGGGTATGCAAGGAAAACAGGATAGAATTTGAATTAGCAAAGAGGATTCAGTATAGAGGCAGTTTTCCTAGCTGTAAGAATAGTTTCAAGAAATAGACTCCCTATTATTACAATGCTAATGTTTCACAATTAAAATGGCAAAAGATCAGGAAATGGAAATGTTAGGATGCCCACAGAGCTGTTGTATTGACTAGATTACACATGTTGCCTTTTCTATTCCTATTTTCTTACCTAAGCATGTAGCTTGCTAGATTACTGCATATATCTATGCACTTATAAGGCTTCCATCACCACAGTACCTAAATGCTATTGCATTAATGAAGATTTGTGTATTTAATATGCATTTAGGTTCAATACATATCATTTATCCTTAGCTAGGGCTGACTGAGAGAACAGACAAGAAAAGCCTTTCTTGTTATGTTACAGTAGCACCCACAATGCGCTAAATCACTTTACAAACATTCAGGAAATAATCTCCCTTCTCCAATGACTCTTGACAGCTGTTAGGCTGCTGGTGTATTTGGATCACTGCCTATCAATATTGTTTCATTGTTTCCTCATACTCCCTTATCTGTGACTCTTGTCTTACACTTAGGCTTCGTCTAGACTACATCCCTTTTTCGGCAAATGGATGTAAATTAGACGTATCGCAATTGCTAATGAAGCGGGGATTTAAATCTCCCATGCTTCATTAGCATAAAAATGGCTGCCACTTTTTTTTGGCATGGAGCTTTGCCGGAGAAAAGCGCCAGTCTAGACGCTGATCTTTCGAAAAATAAACCCTTTTCTGAAAGATCCCTTATCCCTTATTTCAAGAGGGATAAGGGATCTTTCGGAAAAGGCTTTATTTTCCGCAAGATCAGCGTGTAGACTGGTGCTTTTTTCTGGCAAAACTCCATGCGGAAAAAAAGCGGCAGTCATTTTTATGCTAATGAAGCGTGGGAGATTTAAATCCCCGCTTCATTAGCAATTGCGATACATCTAATTTACATCCCTTTTACGAAAAAGGGATGTAGTCTAGATATTTTTCAAAAGATCAGCATCTAGATTGGCACTTTTCTCCAGCAAAACTCCATGCGGAAAAAAAGTGGCAGTCATTTTTATGCTAATGAAGCGTGGGAGATTTAAATCCCCGCTTCATTAGAAATTGCGATACATCTAATTTACATCCCTTTTCCGAAAAAGGGATGTAGTCTAGACATAGCCTGACGGTAAAATTCTGACTCCATTAAAGTCAACAAGAATTTCGTCATTGGCTTTAGTGGGGCCAAAATTTCACACACAGCTGGTAATAACATACCCCATAGATCCTCCTGTATGATTATCTATGGATCAGAGGTTCAGTTTTATTAAATGTTGCCATACTTTTTCTCCTTTTCTCTATCCTAGGTCAGTGCACTAACCTGGGGTCAGCAGAGGAGGAGCTGAGTTGTCTCCGTGAGGCACTAACAACTCCAGACCCTGAGGCTCTGTTTCAAGCATCTTCCAAAATGGCTAAGGTAACAAACACTAGGTGACTGTCCTAGTGGCTGTGCACCATTCATTTTCCCTTGTCCAGAGGACTGGAAAAGGGCAAATCTAGTGCCCATCTATAAAAAGGGAAATAAGAACAACCCAGGAAACTACAGACCAGTTAGTTTAACTTCTGTGCCTGGGAAGATAATGGAGCAAGTAATTAAGGAAATCGTCTGTAAACACTTGGAAAGTGGCAAGGTGATAGGGAACAGCCAGCCTGGATTTGTAAAGAACAAATCATGTCAAACCAATCTGATAGTTTTCTTTGATAGGCTAACGAGTCTTGTGGATAAGGGAGAAGGGGTGGATGTGGTATACCTAGACTTTAGTAAGGCATTTGATACAGTCTCGCATGATATTCTTATCAATAAACCAGGTAAATACAACTTAGATGGGGCTACTATAAGGTGGGTGCATAACTGGCTGGATAACCATACTCAGAGAGTAGTTATTAATGGTTCACAATCCTGCTGGAAAGGCATAACAAGTGGGGTTCCACAGGGGTCTGTTTTGGAACCGGCTTTGTTCAATATCTTCATCAACGATTTAGATATTGATATAGAAAGTACGCTTATTAAGCGGCAAAATCCAGATCTTCAAGTGTAGAGAAAAGCGTCCATCTAATGCCGGTATGCTCCTCCTCAGTCGTACGTCGCATCACCCAGTCAATAACAAGATTGAAGAGCAGTGACGACATTACGCAACCTTGACGAACTCCGGTCTTGACTTCAAACCATATATCGCTTCCTCCAACACAACAGCTATAATTTTTGTAGAAGCTCCTAATGAGCTTCACCATATGACATGGTATTCCATAGGCCCTCAAAATCTGCCATAATCTGTCTCTGTTGACACTATCGAAAGCCTTTTCAAAGTCTACAAAGTTCACGTGACGTTGTCGTTGCCATTCTGCACTCTGTTCTATGATGTTACGCAGAGCAAAGATCTGTTCTATACAACGCCTACCTTTTCTAAAACCTGCCTGCTCCTTCCTCAGCGTTTCATTAACTGCTGTTGATATTCTACCTATGATGATTTTAGCGAGGATCTTGCTGGGTATTGACAGCACCAAATGATAAAATAAGTTATTTCAAAACAGCATTGAAATAATATTCACAATTTGCATAGCTCAAAATGCGTATCTTATTTCGAGTTACAGTGCAGTGTAGATGTGCCCTTAGATTCTAAGCTTTTGGGGGAAGGGGGTTCTCTTTTTCTTTTGTGTGTGTAGAGCACCAAACTCAACAGGGTCCTGCTCCATGACAGCACCTCCTGGGCACTACGACAATACAAATAAGAACAAATAATAATCTCAATAAAGAGTAAGGGACACTAAGGTGGGAAATCCCAGTAAGATAGCAGGAGAGAATAATGTGCAAAAATCACATGGCTATTGATGCATGACTATCAATGTGGTATGACTGGGATTTACTGAAAAATGCAGTATAATGATCAATATTTTAACTTTGGAGTTATCAATGTCTATAACAAAACAAATTTAAACCAGAATAAAAAAATATGAGTATGTTTAATTTTACCCACTGTTGGAAGTCCCAATAGACTTTTCTTTTCCCCTGGGACTACACACAGTACATTAAGTCTTTGGAATAACGCATCGGGCCTCTCTTTTAGGATATAAGTGGGGGATATGAAATCGTTTTCATCATGAGAGTTATTTTAGCATCTTTCCAACTTTATGTGCCTTAGTGTGATAGCTTTCCCAAAACAGCATATTGGGTACGTGGAAGATATATTCCCAGAAGACTAAGGACGTTCAAATTAGAATCCTGTGCTCTATACTTTCTCCTAGCAAAGGAGCTGAGAGAGGTATGCAACTCATATGAAGAATGTTAACATAAGACAACAAACAGCCAGCCATTCTCCCTGAGTGCTCATAAATGATGGTGGGCAATATGGGTATCCCATAAATTCTCTTTTGTTATTTTCAGGATTCATTATCTTGAGTAAGGAAATAACTTTCAGCCTCTTCCACAGTTTGAAAGCGCATTGTTATAGTGTTATGGTGAATTCTGAGCTATGCTAGGAATGAAACAGCAGTTTGTACCCCTTTCCAGAAATGTATTCTCTCTCTGAATTCCTTAACTGAGTTCAAACACCATGTCTGGAAATATACAGAGGAAATGCTGTTTCCCAGGCTTCTGAGCACAAGCTTAAATGTTTCTCCTCATTCTAAAATTTCAATATTCACTATGGAGATACCATGGCATTTCTCCCTGTTTGGAGTGCTGCTGAAGAAATCTGTGCTGTTTCCATGCAGGCATTTCCTTCCCCCTCCCCCATTAGTTTTAGTTATGAATTTGGTTAAAATTCAAATCTTGTCTTTGCCTTAAGATTCCTCTCTAATACAGTGGTGGCCAATCTAAACCTGAAAAGGAGCCAGAGTTTATCAATGCACATTGCCAAAGAGCAACAGTTATATGTCATCAGCCCTTGTCATCTCCCCACTACCACTGTCAGCACATCCCACCCACTGGCAGCCCCACCAGTCAGTGCCTCCTTCTCCTTTTCCTCCTGCCCACTGTGATTAGCTCTCACTCAGTGGGAGACACCAGAGGGGGGAAGCATGGGTGTGACAGGCTCAGTGGACAGGGTAGGAAGTGGCAGGATCCTAGGGGGAAACGGTGGAAGGGGACAGTGCCTAGGGCAGAGATGGTGATTGAACAGTGAGTACCCTCCGGCCCAGTGGAAAGTTGGCACCTGTAGCTCCAGCCCTGGATTTGGTACCTATATAAGGAGCCGCATATTAACTTCTGAAGAGCCGCATGTGGCTCTGCAGCCACAGGTTGGCGACTCCTGCTCTAATACCTATCCTTAGGTTTTGCTATTGTGCTCTCTTTTCTAGGGCTTCATTTTCACAATCAAAATACTGTAATCTCTCTCAAGCTCTTGAAAATCTGTTGACAGAGATCTTAAAATTTTCTGCAGAGGAGATTCTCTCCTCAACCTCAGGCATTTCTTAGGTATGTTTTTCCAGTGCAATAAAAGCTACAGTTTTAACAGAAACATATGTAATTTCCAGTCCAAATCTCTGCAAGCCGCACCCAAGTCCTAGGATTGTCCTCTGGGTTTAGCTCTTCATTGCTTTACACCTTTGCTTTACTCCTTGTGGAGTCACGTACACCTGGGCAAACTGGATGTTAAATACTACCAGGTTAGAATGGCAGCTCTTTATTTCCAGTTCTGCAGATGCAAATGACCACACAAAAGGCAAAAGGCAGTCTCTCTTGCTTTGTTTGCATTAAGGTGTCTTGTCTTCCTTATAATATCACATGAAAAAGTCCATAAAATCATAGGTTTTTTTCAGATTTAAGGAGAAATGAGGCGATTAGGACTGACTTCTGCGGGTGCATTTTAGTCTCTAGAAGAAACTCTTGCAACTAAGGAATAATTCACGAAGTTTGTAGTGTTTCTTTGAGACTATTAATGTGAGCACATGCCATCGCCTCGACAATAAGAAAAGGAAGACTCTGCTAGGGCTGACCAGGCACTTAGGGTATGTCTACACGACAGTGTTATTTCAAAATATCTTATTTCAAAATAGTTATTGCGAAATAGATTATTTTGAAATAATGCATCTACACACAAAATGCATTTCGAAATAGTGGACTCTGAATCACATTTAAGGCTGGCTGGAACCAGTTCCGGCAGGGCACCAGGTCAGGACTTACGGTGTGGGGCTGCTGCCTGAGGCTATCTGAGGTCTGTGCTTAAAGGGACCCCCCCCCGGACACCTGGTTCTCAGGTTTTCCTGCTTGATTGTCTACCTTGATGAGGGACAACAAAGCATTTTGTCTCTGCGTGCTCTGATTGCCCTCACTCGGGACACCACAGCACTCTGCAACATGGAGCCAGAGCTGCCCCTGGGCACTCTGGTATTTCTCATGGACGCGCTGCTGCGAGCCTGGATGAACTTTCTGCAGGCTGCCATCCGGGAGGTCCACTGGGGGGCAGTCAATATCCAGGAGGCTCTGCAGGAGAGCTTCCACCCTGAGGAGCACTAAGAGCCTCCCTGGTCTGCCCCACTAGGGGCTTGTGCCTCATTCCTCCCTCACGTCCTTCCACTGATCCCTCCTAACCCCCCTTCCTGATGTGAAATAAAATACATGTATTTTCAAAAATATAAACTCTTTTTATTTAACAAAACTGGGGGGGGGTAATGAAACTCTGGGGAGACTGGGGAAAGGAGGCAGGAGAAGGGAGGAGGGGGGAAAACTGGAAGGAGGGAGCTGGAAGGGGGAAGCAAGGGGAAGAAGAGGGAGGGGAAGCTCAGGTCTCAGGGGTGGGGTTTTCGCTGGGCCAACTGTCTCCCAGCATGGCGGGTGCAGGGGCCTCGGTGTCCCCGGGAGAATGGGGAGGAGGGTGCGGAGGCTGAGGTGGGGGGTGTGGAGATTGAGGAGGAGGGTGTGGAGGTTGAGGAGGG